GAGAAGAGAATAGCTGCAAAAGACGCTACCCCAACTGAGTCTAAGAACCCGACTGACCTGGTGGACTTTATCTGCTCTCTCTCTTGTTCCTTCACATGGTAGTTCTCCATGAGCAGGAAATGTGCTTGTAGTTCTTCAGAGTCAATTTTCACAGGTACCTATCAGAGGTAACCATACAAAATGTCGTGCTGATGCCTCATTCACCTCACCCCCACACGGGGTCATGCTGATATTTCATCACTACCTGGGGTGCTACCCCAGCCAAAGACCAAATGGATCCTCATGGCATGGCTTCATCATTGAAGGACAGCTGACCACAGGACTAGCTAACTCTACTTGAAGATCTAGAGCTCCCAGTCTACCTACACCTACTCTTACTTCCAAGGTAAATCACTTTGCACTTAAAGCTGGAAGGACTTTTGGAAAAATACTGTCTGGGTAATGGTAGATACTATTAGAAAGTGAAGTAAATACCTTTACCCATACATCCCCACACGGCATGATCATTTGGAATTTCTCAACTGTTTGCTTTCATAGTAATTATTATTTCCAACTACTTTAACTCATTTTCTCTTTTTAGAATTTGTTCTTCTGCAGTGTATACATTATTTAATTTTGCTCATTCTCCTTGATTAGGTTAGCTTTTCTGAAAAGAAGATACCAGAAGAATAATTAATTGAATATTTTCTCTTTGTYGTACTCACAGAAGATACCATTTTTTTCCCCACAGAAGTATTTTTAAGATTTGAGCTGGAGAGTAGTTTGCTTCTTGATGAATGAGCCAAATGCAGATTGAATCCTGTGTACCTAATTTAAACTGGCCTAGCACAGATCAACAAAATGTAAATGTATAGAAGGAGGAGCCAGGTGTCTCATGACACCTAAGAATTATTTCCTGTGTCCTGCTGCCTGTGTGCTGGCGAGTCTGAGTTCTCCCACTCCCATGTGAAGTCATTGGAGCCTTGACACCTCTACAGTAGAGACCCAGTGCAGCAGCTAAGAAACATCCCAGGGATCCCAGTAAATGAAAGACAAAGAACAGAGAAAAATCTACTGAGACAGAATAGTTATGACTGTTCTAAAACGGAAGACTTTTCCTGGAGTAAAATRTTGTCACATGGACTTGGAAAAGATGCCTGTGGAGTCAGCTAACGCTCTGGGACCGCTCATYAGCCATCTGCTCATTTACTGCTAAGTGTCTATGGGAGACAAGGCTGCACGGTGCTTGGGACAGCCTGGCTCAGGACATGTATATGCAGCAAGGTCTTTATATCATCACAGGAAAGAAACATGCAGCCCAACAGCACTAAGGGGCAAAGCACTTGCTGCATCAGCAGAGACGAGGGGTGTGGAGGGCAGATGACTGTGCCTTGAACATTGCTTTACGTGGAACGTCTCACCTATGAGTTGARTTCTTCCCCTCAGCTTTATTACACTTAGTCACTTACAAAAATCTTAACTTGTTCCTGGGCTTCAGTTTAATTGTACATACACTTCTTCCCTGAAGTCAAACCTGATTAAGGGTTCTGTGCTCTGGGAACACCTACCTCAGTTACTTGTGACTTCTTAGCAGCGTCTTCAGAGCCTTTCCCGGATTCAACACTCAGTAGTGAGGAAATTGCTTTCTGAAGTGGCTGCAAAAGAGTAATGGAAATGTACATTCAGCCAGAAAACACGTGCACAGTGTCAACCTAATAACCAAAGGGGGATTGCATTCCTTATTATTGCATTATGGACCGTGTCAAATTTAGGATTTTTACTGCAAAAATGAAACAAATCAGAGTGATGTCTTGCAAATGCTATAAGTGCTATTTGAGAAGCCACTTTTAGCAAATGTTTAACAATAAATAGAGGCAGGTAAAGTGTGTGAAATCTGTAAGAATATTTTATAACAAAACTTAAATTTGCATGTAAAAGGAAATATATAAAATGCATGTGATTTGGTTTGTTTTTTTGTTATAGGATATCTTCATCAAAAAGGAGAAGTACAATAGACTGAAGCTGGAATTTGCCTTGGTTTGAAAAAAAGGAAAAAAGAAAAGAGAGAWTTTTTTTCCCCAAATACTTTTCAGTCCCAAATCTGTTTTCTGTTGCCTGTGCTCTGTAGTGAAGTTAAAATAGAAAATGTCRCAGCTCATATTTGCAGCGTGCTGGTGGAAAGTTCATTCTAAGAGGTGGTAAATACAGTGAAGAAAGAGTCAAAATTTACTTTCTGACACTTCTTTATGAGAAAAAGMGCTCCAATTTTTACAACACATATGGTTGTAACTATACATTGTTTTTTTGTTGTTGTTAAATGTAACGGTATAACTTCTATAGAAGAGTTGGCCACCCTCTGCTGTACAGTTTAAGTGSTCTACCTTTAAAAATAATTATATTCTTAAAACTAGCTTTGGAGGAACATCTGACGTTACATATTTTGTTCTTACGTACCTACACATAGCCTTATACTGTAGACATTGACTATAGTATCTTTCTGCCAAATCTGTCTTAGTTGTGGTGGTTGCTTTTTGACAAAAGTCAGTAATCTTCTTCTCTTTCCAACAATCAGTTCTGACAAATACTGCTGCTTATAGCAACGGTGTTAATCAAGGTTCATTTAAAATGAATAGAAAGCAACAGGATGCCACAGCTTGCCCTGGGAAGCTATTACTAGTCAGGATGGCTGTCAGGCGGGTGGGTGAGCTGCAAGCCACTCGTGGGAGAAATAGACCCTCATGAAGTATTTTGGGTAGRTCTGCTTGAGAAGATGATTTTCATAATTTCAGATTTCAAACATATGTATAGTCATACATATGTGTATGGAAGAGGCAATGTTTTGTATGTTTATATGTATATATGTATGTATGTATGTATGTATATATGTATATTCTTAGACATTTTGTTTTTTATAGAAGTTGGACACTAGATGTTGTGGAGTTTGGCAGGCAAAAGTGGAAATTTTGGAGTGGAATAGGAAGGTAATAAGAGCTTATCCAGCACTGGCACCTGGTGTAAGTTGATTAGGTCAAGCAATAATAGCATGATATTAGTACTCTGCAGAAACTAAGTACTTTTTGGAGAACAGAAATTTCTGCCTATAAAGCAACATTGGGTTTGTGCCAGTCTGCCAAGATGACCCCTCTCCTCAGTCAGGCAGGATTCCCATATCTCTGGTGAACAGGATACGAAACAGCACTAGAAACTGAAGGGAAAATGCAGTATTTTGAGGGGCGGTGAAGTGAGATGAAAGGCCACTTCTTGCCATGGCCTGCTGTAGATCTGGCTGCAAGAGGCCAACACTGCTGAATATGCACGTTACGGAGATGTGCTCTTCAAATGAGCGTCCAATAACTTCTGTGGCATCGTGTGTAAGTTAGTTTGCTTAGCATAATTTCATGCTSTGTGAATAAATACTGCCTTTTATCTGAGTGTAGATGTTGGAATTTGCATTTTAAAGTCAGTGACCAAAGCCTCTGTTCCTAATTTAATTCTAAGTTTTCCTTGTCTGGATGAATACTGGAATTTCTGGGGAAAAAAGAAAAATTTTAAATCTTCATTTGGTCTATATGGAGTTTTTAAAATTTGGCTAATAAACATCATATATGATAAATTTCTTATGTTTTTACACAATAGTAAAAACTGCAAGATATATTCAGCAAAACTTACTTTTATGTAGAAAAATGATGATAGTAAATAAATAGGAAAAGAATCTATTTTGATTTGACATGGAGTAATTTCTGCTGATAATAAGTTCCGGAAGGTGCCAATGGGAAGGGAGTGTTGCAAATCCCAAGTTTTTTACTTACCTTTCAGGGGAAAAATGTTTTTTTAACTTTCACACTTATTAGCCGTACAGAATAATAGCAGGTAAGAAATACGTGGCTGAAWTCATGCCATCTGAGGATTTAATTAACAAATTTCTGTTACAGAATCTTTAATACTGGAACTGATGTGGAAGCCAGACCTATACTGTATGCCTATTATTCCACCTTGATTTTGCAGATAGAAAGAAATGCCTAATTGTTAATTCAGCAGTTTCTATCCAAACACTGTACAGCGTGAGTGAACATCAGCCGATCCAGAATGACTTTTTGTGATATATTTGTTTAAATGCACTATATAGTGCTATATACAAGCTATATATAAACTGTATATAGTATAGTGCTTTTCATTCTGAGATTTTTTCAGTCAAAATGAATTAGATGCCATGGTAGAAAAAACTTAACCTCTTAATCACAGAATTCAAGGAACTTTAAATGCTGTGTTCAGCTAAAATTCTTGTAGTGATTTATCTTTAGAAAGATACTTTCCCTAGAGCTCTCATGATTTGATTCGTATTTCTTTACTTACCTTAGAAAAATAAATAGTTAAGTCGATACTCTTAACTCTGAAATGAGGAGCCTTACTCCTAGATGTCTCAATTTAAGACCCATTTTTCTTTCTACAGAAAGAACTTGTCAGCARTTTTTTATATTACTTTGATAAAATTGTTGGGTTGGTTTGTTTGTTTTTACTATTAAAAAGTTCTTTATTCCTGGCTTTCTTTCTGAAAATTGTCTTTGGTTGCTAGATTTGGTGGATGGGAGAATATTTTGAATTGTTTTTTCTTGAAGTTACCATTGTGTTTGATACATCAAAAAAGGTTGTTTGGTATCTTATCCAATGTCCATTAAAGCAATTTTTTTTTAGTCCTTTTCTTTTGTTGTTTTAATTTCAACCTAAACCCATGCTGTTTGTAAAGAAAGGCAACGATCTCGATAGTTCTACTTGCATATATATATATATAGTATATATATATATTTGCATTTTTTCTTAGAAATTCTACCTTGTGGGTTATATTTTCACCCATTCTGTGTATAGAATTTTCATATATGTCAGTATATCTTCATACTGACACACTGTCAGTATATCTTCAGAAGTTCCCATCTTCTGAATGAAGATGGGAACACAGACTCCTTGAAGCCTCCACCTTCTATGCATGAGAAAAAGCTGCTAATGTTTTTCTTTATTTATTTCAGGTTTCTTTTCTCCATGGAAAACTCCAAAACCTGTAAGTTCCCTTTCAAAATTATACTCATTGGGCTCATATGATGACTTATCTTTCTAAGCAAATTTCTGTAGACCTTCTGTAGACCTTCATGTAACCCACCTGTTGCCCAACCATTGAGATACCTCTCAGCAGTGCCTCCATTCTGGGTAAGATGCAGCATCTGAGTGGCCAGGTTGGGTACCTTGGGCTCRATGCCCGCACTGATGGGATCCACAGCAGTGCTGAAGTGCCAGTGGTAGCCGGGAGAAGGGAATGGCCAGGCTGTTTTAGTGGGTGGCAAGGACTGAAAAGGCACTGTCTCAAAAAAGAGAAGTGATAAACAGCAGTCTGGAGGAGAAGGCGGCAGAAGACCACTACAGGGCAGCCAGTCTGTTTGGGAAATAGCAATTTCTTCTTCTTGCAATAGATAACATAGACTTTTTCTGATTTATAACTGTATTGAGTTTAACGTCTCAAAAGTGATCATTATTCATTCTTACATTAGCAAATCTGGAAATTGTCCCACTTCAAGTGGGAGATTGGATTAGAAAGCCTGCAAAGGTCCCTTCCAGCCAACCTTTCTGGTTGATATGATTTTAACATTTAACCCCAAGATATTAGCTCATGTCCTGTTTTAAAAATATTAATTGCCATGAAAAATGTTTTATCAGATACATTTCATTAACACAGAGACATGCTTACATGTTCACAAGCTAGAAAAGTTTAGCATCTTGCAAATGATGGATATGAGTTATTAAAAGTAAACACTGATTCATTTAGCATTTTAGTTGGTTTTGAAGATATGTGGAAATCTTCATCGTATTTACGATTTGGATGATATTGGCTTAGATGAAAAAGCCTTCTGGAGTTAGCCTTTCTGCAATGAAGTTGTGGTGAAATTGTGAAGACTGTTAGCAATGACTGCATTTAATTTGTCAGTGCTATATTAAGTCATTTTTTAAAGTTGTGACAACATTCCCACTGTAGAAAGAAATTGTAAGACGTAATTTTTGGTTCTCTTTCCTTTCCTCCTTTCTTCCTTTTGCCTCTTTTCTCTNTTTTGCCTCTTTTCTCTTTTTTTTTTTTTTTTTTCTTTTCTTTGGCTTTTCTATTGTCTACTTAGAGTGTAAAGCCCTTAGGATAGTGCCTATCTCTCATGTGAGGTGTGTAGGAAAAGAGGGTTCTGACTCTGCCTGGGGCCTTCCAAAAGCAATATGAATAACAATAGCAGTACTCCTTAAGGGATCTATAGTTTTCCAGTTTTCTTCTTTGGGCATCTTAATGCTTTATTTGGCAACTTCACAGCCTTTCATAATGAATGCAGCAATGCTTTTTGTAGACTATAAAATACAAATATTAATTAATTAGGTAGTTGATACAGTTCCATTAAACTGCACTGGTTTCAGTGTAAAGTGCTGAAGGATGGATGGAATGAGYTGACACAAATACTGTGACATAAGTTTGTTTATTATCATAAATAGCAGAACAACTGCAGCTTTCTATCTTTTACGGGCTACCCTCTTCTCACCAGTWCAAGGTTCCTGCCTGTTTGGAAAGTTCAGCTTTTTGCCTTCGTTAAAAATTAATGCATTTATTTCAGTTTATTTATTTAAAATCAGATCCTAAGATCTGTCAGTATCAGTGTTCTTTTTTATGTACATAGCAACTATATATATATCAGCATGTTCCTGATGTTTTTCCATGCTGTTCTGGTATAGAAACATCTAGATTATAATCAGGTAGCACTTGCCAATAATCAGTCTAGAGTCTACCTGTTCTGAAGGAGGCAGTTCTTCACGCTCAAGATTTAAGCCAACCAGTGCTCACAGAATAAGGTAACCCCACCAGTGTGTTGATGTACCTGCATGCAGACTGACCGCACACAACTTGACTGTCTTGGGGATCTGAGTGGTCTCAACATGACAGTGGGCCAGTGATGAACCAGGTTAAGCTAGTGTGCATTCCTCTATCTRCCAGTCCTTTATTTTGAGAAATAATGAGACACAAGCCCTCTTGATGTGAATAAAAGATTGAACCTGGGTGCCGTCAACAGCCAGGAGATGTAGCAAGACTTCCTGCCACCGCAGCACAGCAGCACTTAGGTGTGATAGGGAAGAAACACTGCTGATGGCCCAAACCCAGATTCCTCCTCTGCTTGGGTGAGTACTAGTAGGCACCACCACTGCCCCTAACCTCWCCTGGGAAGGAGCATCCACTGGTCTCCTTAAAGCAAGAAGAGGACCACCTTGACTGGAAGATGAGAAGAGAGGAGCTCCACTCCACAGAGGGGAAGCTCAGAGATGGAGCATTCTGTGTCTTGGTGGGCTCAGCATCCCCTACTAGCCTGGGCTTCCAGAAACTCCATGTGATTTCTACATATTTGGTGTACRTGAAATATTCCATAATTGATATAACATCATCAGTGCAAACTGGTCAAGCAATATTATCAAKCCCTCTTTACCCAACTTTATATTTGACACTCTTTACTCAGTRTCATTCTTACTTATCTCCAAAAGTGTCTTTAACTATGACCTATATTTATGGTAACTTACCTTCCAAAACACTGCTACTACATAAATATTTAACTGGCCTGGGTTTGGGAGATATATTTCCTCTTCGTTTATGTAACTGCTTATGTTAACAGTATTCCCCACAGGTAAGAACATTATGCTCAGTTTCTAACTTCACACTTTGAGATTTAGAGCTAACCAGCATGCAAGAATTAGACATATGGTACCCAGCAGGGCTTGAGCAATTGATCTCCAGTTTCTTGTCCTTCCAAAAGGAAGGACAAGACTTTTCCCTCCTCTTTTCAAAACCTATTTAAATGCCTTAATTTTACTGAGTTTGACATTCTAAAAGAAGTAAACACTTTTATTTCTGTACTCCAATAAATAGGAAACATATTTGCTTCTAGATAGTCAAGGTCCCTGTGTCTTTCTGCTTCATATGGCAAGGCAGATAGTTCGGCTTCACTGACTTCTGCTCTTTTTTAATGACTTCTGCTCACTTAGCAAAATMCTAGAATTGCAATGTACACTTCAGTCACAGTACTTAAGTGATTCCAACTACTGGTTTCTATAATATGCTCATCATCATGATGCTGGACCTCTCCAGTTGCCAGGTGGGAATACACGTATTGAAGCCAGCTCAAGCCTGTTGCTCTCTTTGAGATTCTTTTGTTATGTTGTTGAGCTTTTATACTCTATGTTGCACTGAGCCACGTATACACTGCACCCACGCTCTGGCTATCTCAGGGAGGTGGTMATATTCTTCTGATAAACTCAGGARGAAATATTTACAGCAATTGATCCACTCAACAGATACAGATCCCAAAACAGTGGTCATCCCCTGCTCCCCTTTGTGTGGAGATAAAGTCTGCTGTCTGTGCAATAGCCATAGTTTGCATCCTACATTATTTCTGAGCGTCATGGGCACCCTGCCTCTGTCTGTCTCCTTTGGGCCTCTTYAGCTGTAGGGGTTTATTGGTTGGACACCTAAAGAACACCTAGTTCTGGAGGCTTTACGGACATTAGCTTTAGAAGAGGTCAGAGGAAAAGAAACTATTCACTTCTTGGAATAAACATTTCTTTAACTTAGCCTCTTCAAATGCATTTGCTATTGCAATTAATGTTAATAACCAAGTCTTTTTAAAACAAAAAATRTATATCTATACAAGACTATATAGGTCTTTTACCTATATAGTATGTCATACTATCTTACCTCTGGATTGATGTGAGATCAGTAAAGATGGTCTTGGGTGAAATATGAATTGAGATAGCTTTGATGTATAGACAAACAGCTTCTTGCTTCTCTAAATGTTCTGGAAGAGTTGAAAAGCTTATCCTGTGCTTATGGGTTTGGCTGGATGGCTATGATATAATATTTGATATAAGAAAGAAAGAAGTGAAAGTTGATCAATTAATACCCACTTTTCTCTCACAGTGTTCRGTACTTTATCATTTAACCTTTGATTGTCACTGGATGCTCAAGTAGCTACTGTAACAGATCTCTCTTTGGGAGTTTTTTCAACAGAAGCTGTGAAATTCGTTTTCAGTTACAGAAATCTGTGCGATTCTTGCTTTGCAGTTAGCTTTTGTCATGCATTCTCATAAGACTTTTAAGATCATTTCGTTGCTGTATACATTTAGCTGGTCTATATGCACTTTGTTGTTGTTGTTAACCAGTATTTCAGTTTAGGTATTTTGATGAATCTGGTAATTACGTCTTCATCATTACACAGATTCAGCCTTTAGCAGAATTGCTTTCAGTAACTCAGAGCATTCTCTAAGAGATATTCAACATAACTCTGGTATAAAGCTKGGTCCTAATCCACATGGAATCATATTATCTCAGAAATATCACATCATCTTGTGACAAACAGGTAAATTTAACCAAGTAATTTTAAAAGCAATGCAACACACACACCTTTCATCTCAAAGAAACAGCAGAGGGGTTTGACAGGTTTTACAAAATACATATTTGCCTCTAATTGAAATCACTGTGATTGTGGTAGTCATAGCTTTTACAAAACTTCATCTTTATTCTCTGTATGTTTTTATTCCAGATGATGGAAAGATGGGAGAATCAAGGCAGCCCTCAAACAAGTTTGTCAGCTCCAGCTATACCACAGAATATTCCCTATCCACCCGCCCTTCACAGGAGTTCATTTCCTGATTCAACAGAGGCCTTTGATCCACGAAAACCTGACCCGTATGAGCTGTATGAGAAATCAAGAGCTATTTATGAAAGTAGGCGTAAGTGAAAGCCCTGTTCACCCTGAAGAGCATTTAATATTTCAAGCTTTTGCCTATGAATGTATCACAGCTAACATAATTTTCCATAATTATCTTTTGTAATTTAAAGCAAGTCAATTTCAAACCCAGATCATTATAAATTATTCAAAATTCTACTCCTAATATAGTTTGCTAGATCTTGCCTGTGTTTTGAAGTTTTTTCTTTCACCATTTTGTTTCCTGATATTACCCCACTTCTCATTTTCACTCTTGAATCCTTAGTAACAACATTGTTCCCCTTTCACTTTAAAGTGAGATTTATAAAAGAAATGCTAGATTTATTTAGCTTTATAAAAATTACTTTGACATTTTATAACATTGTCCTTAGTGATTAAGAAAAACCTATACTACTAGCAAGTACTATTTGAAAAGCTGTACAAAACAAGACTGAGCTGTCAAGGTTCCCATCTTAATTTTATTTTTCATGTTTTTAAGGAGTATGCCACATACTTTCCTTAGCATAGGTAAAATGAATTAAACTCATTTAATCCTTACTTTAATAAATATGTTAGCTGGAAGTGTTATATTTTAGATCATCCAGAGTTTCATGCTTACTTAGGTCAGAATTTCAAAATAGTTTATATAATAAGAGCTTTTTCATAGCAGATATTCCTTGCACATACCACCTTTCATTTCATTGTACACATTTCTTTATTCTGTAAGTCAAACTACTTCATAAATTAGACAAAAAAATATTGCCCTACTGCTACTTCTGATTAGCCCATTCATATGACATAAAGATAAATCTAAGTTTCCATGATCTGGACGGAACACTTTTCCCGAGCTTGCATGGGTATCTTCTGAAGGAAATACATTATTGTCAATAACATATGTTAGTGATAATGATATATTATTGTCCCAAACTATTCCTTAGTGCCTTAGCCTTTACACTTTAGCTGCAGCATCATCTGCTCCTCTTTGGCYTTGGCTCTCTCTCTCTGCATCATGCCAACCACATTGAAGAAACACCAGGATTCATTTTGATGGCCTCTAAATTTCATCTCAGATTCCTATATTCTTTGTCACTGTGGCCAAGGCCAGCATCTTCTGCCATGTAAGTCCATGTAGTAGAACTCCTTCCTGTCAGCTCTCGCACATCTGAGACACTCTCTTCCCTATTCCTCCAAGGTGTTAAGTTCAGAAAACCTCTGTTAAGGTCATTTTTTGCACAACCCAACTTAGCTCCCTTTCCTGATGCTCTTCTACTAGCTATAATTTGCTAATGAATCCATTTGATGTCTTCAGAGCTTTTCGTGTTTCTCCCTTACCCCTCCCTGAGCCTTTCTCCCTTCCAACCCCTGATGATACCAGTGAGCATTAACTCYAGTCCAGCAATGTCTTGCTCTAGCAGCTTCTATTTCTCTCAAAAAAATATTCTCTTCCAAATTAATCATTCCATGTGCAACACTTTTCTGGACTAATTCTGTATATCTGTGTTCAGATGCATTTTCCATACAATGCCTTATGCTGTGGYACTTAGGGAAAAAATGAAGAAATAAGATATCTAGTTTGTTGAATATAATTTTTTTTCACATGATATGAAAAAGGTGGGTCTGAAAAATATGTAATGGAGCAATGAATTAGTAAAAATGAGTAGGTATCTCTAATCGATCACATCTGTCTCTTTCGCTCCCTAAATGTGATATCCTCTGCAATCATGGCCCTTAAGAAAGCTGTAATAAACTCAGGGTATTTTGGAGAAGAACTTTTCTTGCAAAATTATGGTAGAATATATCAGAAGACTTGTGCGGGATCTCTGCCATCCCTGATATCTGGGACATAGGAGAGTACAGAAGTAGTACTACACTCTTGTGTAGGCCAGTATTTTCTTACATAGTAAGAAATTTAGATAGCTTACAAGTAAGCTTACCGAGCTTACATAGTAGAGCATGGCAATGTAATTGAGGTGCACCTTCAAGAGGTTCAGTAGATATCTCTAAATTCACTTTTCATCATCCAACCTTTCTTCCCTTTTTTTTTCTTCATTAGTAGATGCCTGAAATTAAGCTCACAAATTTATTTTAACTATTTAAATATCTTGCTAAGGTTTTTCAACAATACCATAGATCTTATATACCCTTAAATAAGACCTTAGAATTTACATTCAACCTCCCTTAAAAATGCCTGATCTTCAGTTATGAACTTCAATTAGGAACTGAGCCTGCCAGGTTATTTAGGAACGCCACATGCCGAATGCTATTTTAATACAACATATATTATATGCTAATGCAGCATTTTTCTCTGTTCCAGAAATTATTATTGATTGGACAAGTTCCCCAAACAATGTTTTTACAGAATGTACTAGCAAAAATTATTATTTCTGAAATTTTGAAGATATTTGAAAGGGGGATCAGGATACAATGTGGAACAGTCCAAAATGCTATAAAAGAAAGTTCTTCTTTCCCCTTTTTTCTCTTTCTCTTTCTCTTTCTCTTTCTCTTTCTCTTTCTCTTTCTCTTTCTCTTTCTCTTCCTTTTTCTCTTCCTTTTTCTTTCTCTTAATTTTTCTCTATTTTGTGTATTAATGGCTACAATGACAAATATATAAAAAAATAATCCCGAGCTGAAATTCTCCAAAGTGCTGTGTTCTGGGACTATAAAGAGAAGTGCTTCCCCACGAGCAGTTTCTATAATAAATGAAATATTTTAGCAAAAAAAGCTGTATTTTCCATTCAGCAAAGGCAGAACAGTCTCTTGCAGTTAAAGACATGGAGAGTGACAAAGCACAGATTAAAGACAGTCTACATTAAACAGATACCTTAAAAAGACAGTTAAGGTCTAAGACCTGTGGCACCTCCCAGGCCCAAAGCAAGAAAAGGAGGGATGAAAAGCAAAATTATAGTAGCCATTTGTCCCAGATTTCCAGCCATGTCCTTATGTTTCATCTGATCTCAAAAGCTTTAATCCATTCTGACACTGTTTTACTACAGATGTTTTCTCCAGGCCTTGATAACATCCACAGTTCCAGCCAGATCCCTTCTGCTTTCTTTCACATCCCTTGGTCGTAAATAACTGTCACCAAGCATTGCTGTTCTCCCTGGCACTTTTGTTTCATGGGTGCCGTCAGCACACGTTTTAGCAAATTGAATTCATCAAGCCTTTAATTGCTTCTTTTCTCCACATACATAACATTATCCTAAGTGAGAGAAACTAAGGATAACATTATCCTAAGCGAGAGAAACAAGCAGCAAACCTATTAGTGAGTCAAGAAATTGTCATCTAAATTGGATGTACGGGAAGGAGAGTTTTAAAATAACACAAACTTCATTTCCCACCCATATGGCTGTGTCAGATTGGTTATCTTCACTACAGACACACTCCTAAAGAAGTGTACAGAAAAAGTTCAGCTACTTTTTTTTGTTCTTTGTATTTTTTTGAAGTACTTCTTATCAGAGAGCAAGTTTGCCTTGTCTCTTGGCAAGACCTAAAAAGAAAGAGTTCATCTTCTAAAGATAAAGCAAAGAAGTGAACAATCCTGACCTGGAAATGCTCAAAAAAGAAAAGAGAGAGTGTTAGATTGCTTCTTGCACAGTCAGACTGGGTTATTAAGCAGTTCGTGTCAGTGCTGCTGTAGCTCCGCATTCCTGCAGATCCTTTCCCTGGCGGATCAGTCGGCACTCGGGGCTCCCAAGGGCTCTCTCGAAGCCTCCTGCTCCCCTGCCAAGGAGCTGAGAGCATCGTGCGAGGAGCACGACTTCGGTGACATGACTGGAAGCAAAGCCAGCCAAAGGATCCAGACCTGATTCACAAGCTTCTGCTCCAGCCGCTGGATATAGTCATTCCTAGCTAAAGATAGCAAAGGACAGGCTCCAAGCGTGCAGTCACCACAAAGGCTCATCTTTTTTTATGTTGCAGAAAACTTTTGCACCTTAGGCATATGAAGGACCCGTATGACCCTGCTTTACAGGGAGATTTCAGTTTTTAATGACCATATGTGAATTACTAAGGATTACTGCTTATCTGCTGAGGGCAAGTTTTCAGCATCGGTTCTACCAGTACAGTAGATAAATCAAACAATGCAGTGGCACAAAAACTGTGCTTTATAATCCTTACCTCCCTGCAGAGCTGTTGTCACGTGCTGTCACCTCTCAGCTCTTACCTGTTTGATGACACCTGCTAGAGTTGGTACCTGTCACTACTATCAATGGCCTAAAAGCAGCAGCAAATGTGCTTTAAAATGTCACAATTTCCAACAACTAGTGGTAGAATATCATATCAATCAGACTATCTACCTAAATTTTAAAAGAAGGAAAATTTTATCTTCCTTCCTTCCTTCCTTCCTTCCTTCTTTCCTTCCTTCCTTCCTTCCTTCCTTCCTTCCTTCCTTCCTTCCTTCCTTCCTTCCTTCCTTCCTTCCTTCCTTCCTTCCTTCTCTTTGCTATCTTAAACCATGTACCTCCTTTCCTTTGTCTTTTTATTTGTTTACTTTTACTTCTCCCCAGTAAAGAGAGCTTACGCTTCTTTATGCTCTATTTTTGGCACACTCAAAAATGAATGATAAAACCTACTCAAATAACCTTTTTTTCCCTTAATTTTTCCTTTCCAGTTTTATTTGTCTTAAAGGCAGACCCTTTCTCCATATGTAAACACTTAGGAGCATGCATGACAGTATGACTCTATTGAGGGAAGTTAGGTATGGGAGCTGGCATATAGCACATAGGATTAAGAATCTCATATGCATGAAAAAATGATAGAAGTCAGTATGCAGCAGTTGTTGCAGCAATAACTAGAGCTCCAGTGCTGTCATTGACAGAAATCCTTCTCTTAAATTTAGCATTTCTGCTTTAAGAAGTTCTCCTTTTCCTCTTTTACTCATATTTTATACTGAATATTGCTCATTGTCAATACACAGCTAATAACAAACTTTGCTCTGTGTAGGCAGACATCAATCAAACATGGTGCATAAATCCATAATCATATTCATAATGACATAGAATGTTATAAAATGTATAATAGAAATTC